GTGCGTCTTATACTCCGAAAAATACGGTAAGTCTAAGGGCTACGGCTATTCTCACTAATCCTAGCATAGTAAGGGTGAACCTGAAAAAGCAGAAGGAAAATCTAGCCAAGAAGGGATTCTCCTGAGTAAAGTGAGGGGGGGGGGAATGGGAGGGGGGCTGCTTCCTTCAGCAGCAGAGCATCTGGAGGGGGGAGTGCACCCCTCTTCTGCCCAAACAGGATTAGCAGATCCCCTCACAGACCTCACTGGAGAGGGGGGGCAGCGTGTGTATGCGGGGGGGAGGGAGAGGGGGGTACCCTTGTCTGAGGGCCCTTGGTCTCCCCCAGAACAAAGCACAGGAGTTGCCCCCCGAGGAGCAGGGCCCCAGCGTGAAGAACCTGGACTTCTGGCCCAAACTCATCACGCTCATCGTCTCCATCGCGGAGGAGGACAAGAACTCCTACGCCCCCGTCCTCAACCAGTAAGGGATGCTCTCCTCGGCACACAAAGAGCCGGCCGGAGCTCTGCTGTCCGTCTGTCCGTGGTGTCCTTCCGCAGGACCTGTCTGTTGTCCGTCTGTGTCTGTCTGTCCATCTGTGGAAGAGTAACTGTGTAGTTGAGATGGCGGCTTCCGCTTAGCGCCCAGCAGAGGGGTGAGAGCGGTTCCTCGTCCGGTGCCCCCCTCCCCGCCTGCATGCCAAGGCCCCAGAGCTGGGAGTTGCCTGCGTTCGTTTGCTCGAGGGCGGGGGGTGCAGGCAGCAGCGCTGGCGGGGAAGGCTTGGCGCAGCCTGTATGGGACCAGGAAGCCCCCGTGGGGACACCCTGGGAGAAGCTGGAGGGCCTCTGGCTGGGAAGTCTCCGGGCAAGGAGCCCCTCCCGGGCAGGGACACAGCAGGGACGTCCCCCATCGGCCGTGGGGCATCTCTTGAATGCCTCCTCCCACTCCGGACGCAGGTTTCCCCAAGAACTGGCGGTGGGCAAGATAAGTGCGGAAGTCATGTGGAACCTCTTCGCTCAGGACATGAAATACGCCATGGAAGGTGAGTCCTCCTCTCGGCCACTGACGGCAAGGCCACGTTTTGTGGGAGAGCTCCGTGGCTTTTCCCCAGTGATGGTCAGGGGTGTGTGTGTTAAGGGTGTCTTAAGGCTGTTCAGGTAACCAGAAGGAGAATTTTGTGGAAGGGAATGTAGGAATGGCGTCCATGCGGGTAGGCCTCGACTTACGACCGGTCTCTACTGACCATTCAGAGTTACAACCTACCTGAAAAGGGGGACTTACCCAGATGCCTACAGCTGCCCCTCCCCCTTTGTGGCTGAACTCCAGGCGCTCAACAGCCCAGCCCCATTTACCCCCATTTTCCCTCTCCCGCAGTCATGTGCCAAGGTGGCACAGTGGTTAAATGCAGCACTGCAGGCTACTGCTAGATCAGCAGTTCAGCGGTTCAAATCTCACCGGCTCAGGGCTGACTCAGCCTTCCATCCTTCCGAGGTGGGTAAAATGAGGACCCAGATTGTTGGGGGCAATATGCTGACTCTCTGTAAACCGCTTAGAGAGGGCTGAAAGCCCTATGAAGCGGTATATAAGTCTACTGCTATTGCTATTGCCCTCCTTTTACGACGGATTTGCCACAAAAGAGCACACACTCACAGTTTTCAACAAAACGGTGCCATAACAAGCAGTGGGCTGCTTAACGGCCAGGGTGTTTGTTCTTACGACCACGGCATTCGCACTGATGACAACAGTATTCATGTGCCCTGCAGCATCTGCATTTCGAGGGCCAGGGCCACCCTTTGGATGGAGAGCACAGCTGGGTTGAGAGGAGGCTCGAAGAGGCCCTTTATGGCCAACCTGAACAGCCCTCCCCCCTCACCATCCATCTCCCGTCTACAACAGGGTCCTTTCAGCAGTCCCAAGAAGGCTCCACCCCCATTTGAACCACTCAGGTGACCCTGAGGACACAGAGGAACCTCCAGGTGGCCTCAAGGACCCTCTCAAAGGAGGCAAATGGCCAGCTGCCTGCAAGGAGTATCAGTCCTTCCATTTCCCTCCATCCAGTCAGAGCTGAAGAAGCTTCTTGGATGAGAAGCAAAATGTCTTCAACAGAAAACAAGGAAATCCAGTGGCCTCCTGAAAAAGCCCCTGTGGGACAACTTGAGGATCAGCCCCCCCCCTCCCCTCCCCCTCTCAGTTGCTGCTCATATCTCAGGCTCCAAAATCCAGGAGAGACCCAGGGATTCTTCTAAGGAGGCTCCCTTATGTATGTCCCCCCCCCTCCCCATACACACGTGCAGGTAGTTCTCAGTCACCGGTGGGGGGGTCAGGGGGGGTCATGTGACCCCGGAAGGCTGCAGCCGTTGCAAGCGTGGAAAGCAGCCACTTTTTTCCAAGTGCTGTTGTAACTTTGAACCATCACTAGAACGGACGGTTGTAAGTCGAGGCCCCCTGAATTGGGGAGGGGGAGCCGATTTCAGTTTCAGATTCTGCCCGTCATGGGGGAAGCCGCTTCCGATGGCTGCCTCCCCTGGGGCTGGAGGGGGGAGGGCTGGAAGTGGTGCTGCCAGACAGGTGGGGGTTGCCCCCCACCCACCCCCAGAAACACCCCAGGCCTCATCTGGGACCTGCCAGGCTGCAAAAACAGGGGGTGGGGAGGGGGTGGCAGGGAATTTCCGAGCTTTGGGTCCTGCGTGGGACCTTCTGCTTGGCATTTCCCGTTGCCCACCTGACACCTGTTCACTCTCTGCCCCCCCCCCCTCCTCCCCTCCAGAGCACGAGAAGCACCGGCTGTGCAGGAGCGCTGACTACATGAACCTCCACTTCAAGGTGAAGTGGCTTTACAACGAATACCTCTGCAGCCTGCCAGCCTTCCAGGGCACCGTGCCTGAGTACCCAGCGTGAGTCCCTCCCTCCCCGGCTCTCCTCCGTCCCTCCTGGGATTCTTCCGAGGGAGGGAGGGAGGGAGGGGGCAGGCCGTCCCTTGCCTGGGTCTGGAGCCCCTTCAGGGGGGTTGGGGGGGGTGCCAGGGCTGTTTTGTGGGCCTCCCTTGGCAGGAGGAGAACTGGGCTCAGGCCAGAGGGGGGAGCTGGCGAAGGGGCAGGTGGATCGCCTCTTGCCCAGGACAAGCGGGGGCAGCAGCCGGAAAGGCTTCTGGGAGGCCCCTTGGGTGGCTGGCTGAGAAGGCGGGACTTGGTGCCGGCCATTGGCATTCAGGCTCCTGGTGAACGGGCAGCTTGTTCCTCCCCTGGGCTGGGTCTCCTCGGGAGCTGCGTGGGGTCACCTCCATCCATCTGAGTGCGAAGGTTACTTCAGTCGTCTTCGGGACAGCCCTGCCAAGCCCTGGCCTGGGCCCTGCGCCGCTCACCCACCCCTCGTGCCAAGTCAGGAGGGCCTTGCAGGGCCCAGGACTCGAGGCCAGGCGTTTGATCCTCTTGCTGACCTGCTTTGCCTCGGCTGGGCTGCTGGCCAGGCTCCCTCCTGCAGACCGAAAGGGCTCCCAGCACTAGGCAGGGCCAGCCACGCTCATGGCCCTCGCATGAAGACTGGGCCCTAGATGTGTCCCAGGGCCCCTCCTGCACCCCCCCATCCCGCCTGCCCTCCGCCTTTCGCACGGCGCCTGTCAGAAGCCGAGGCACAGACGGCGCTCAGCTGCATCAGCTGCCGCAAACACCGGGATTTCCTTGCTGCTTCTGCCCCTCCGAATGGCAGCCAAAGCCCATCACAGTCGAAGGATCCATTTGTCTGGGGGGGTTCCGACCAGTAAAAAGATGAGGCGGGGGCTTTAAAAGCCCCTTTCGTCCAACATCCAGGTCTGAGCAGGCGGGCAGAGGCCAGGAATGGGGGAGGCCTCCCTTTGCAGCAGGGCCCTGTAACGTTCCCATGGTTCGCCCAT